ATTGTGGAACCTGGCCTTGGGGCAGGGCTAGTTTCAATTTTTTTTTACTGTTTCTTTATTTTTATCACTTTTTATTTTTAAATTCAATTATTTCTTCTTATTTTTTAGATTTTTATTTATTTTTTTGATTTTTATTTATCTTTTTACTTTTTTATAATTAAGCTGCTGAGTCAGTGACAGCCAGCAGCGGAGAAGGAGGAGGCTGGGCCCGGCGTCAGCAGCGGAGGAGGAGGCGGGACCAGTGATGGAAGAGGAGGCGGGTCCGGCGACGGAGAAGGCGAGGCTGCCAGCGACCATGAAGGAGGAGGAGGCCGTCAGTGGATTGGAGCTGACAGATAAGAGGTGTGCAGGGGTGTGACCAGCCCACCGTAGACCCTGCAGAGCCCACCATAGAGGGTCTATGGCGGACTCTGCAGAGTCACTCTCAGGTGGGCTGTTTTGGGTAAGCAGGTGGGTTCTGCAAGGGCGTAACTAGAAATCACAGGGCCCCATACAAAATTTTGCCATGGGGCCCTGGGATTTCTAGTTACGCCCCTGCCTGCAGTTTCTGACTATATCCTGTTACATATCTGCAGTCTCTTACAGCTTTCTGTAGCTTTACATTCACTGAATATCATATGCGGCCCTTGGGAATGTTAGGGACTACATTTGGAGCCCTCTATAAAAATAAGTTGACCACCACTGCACTGCACAGTGTGTAGCTGCAAATAGGCATATGAGGTACCAATATTAAAATATAGACTAACAAGCTGTAACAATGTGCCAGGCAAATCAAACTTTAAAACATTAACCTCAAATATGTACCTATGGAGGTCACACTATAGTTTCATGTTTAATGTGTCACCACAACTATGGCATTAGGAACTACAGCAGCATGTGTATAGGCTAGATCAGTAATAATACTGTGGATATGAAGCGTTTTAGCAAATGCCAGAATGGTAACACTGCCAGTCAAGGCCTGGCCTAAGGTAGATTGTACTGCACTCCGCCCATTGCAGGCAGCTCAGAGAATAGAGATCCCATGTGGAAAACACCCAGTGATATACAGTTCTGCAGCAACCTTGGTTTATCACATATGTTATCTGGACTTCCCATTTTTTGTATATTATTTATCACCAAAATGAAGAGTAATGCAATAGATGGCTTTTAATTTGTCTTATATACATGTTTTGATCTGCATATTTAGCTAAAAAAATGGTAATACAAATGAAAGCAGCATGCATAAATGCTTTTCCTTTCTATCCTTTATTTTCTATCGGGGCAGGAGAGGCCCACAGTGGACAGAGTACAAAGGGTCCCATGCCTAGACACTGTTAGGCCTCCCTTTGAGACTCCTCATAGCAGCCCCCTATATAAATATACAGTATATGCCCCATTGTTATTGTACCACCTTGCCAGAATTGGTGATCCATGCTGTCTAATGTGGATGGAGGAATTTGCTAGATTTGATTTGTTTAACCCATTGCAGGAATACTACTATTGTACAATGCAATAGGTAATGTAACAAAGATATGCAATGTTATACAATTTGCAATATTAATAACCATATGGAAATTGTTTTATTTAATGTGTACATGGTAAGAGTGCCATTGTTGTCAAAGTGTAAGAGTATACCCAAATCTGTATGGATCTGTTACTGCTTTTACTTGTTTAGTATGGTGGGGGGAGGGGGTGTTCGGGGTTTGGGTTTTGTTTGTATGTGTAATAGACAATTATAAACTTTAATTAAAAAAATACCCGATTAAAAAGAGTAGAAGCTGTTTGCCTTCAGACTGTCTCTTTCTAATAGGATGTCTGCGGTAAGACATTCAGGGCAGAAAGGGAGGGGGATGAGTCACTCCTCTAACCCATTCAGTTGTGTGAGTATGTTTGAGCTATGGAGTTCTATAAACAACAGTTTTGTTCTTTGAAGCAGATAAGGAAAGACTAGTAAAGATGTGAAAATGGGCCTAAGGCTCCTCCTGATGGTTGGAAATGCAAATATGAACAATATTTCACATTTGTCTGACTATAAAATATATACTTTGTTCTCAACTTAATAAAGCCAGAAAATATGTACAAAAACCTGTTCTTTACTTTTAAGGGTTAGGCATAGGGTATGTTTAGGCTAAGGCAGGTTAAGGGTTAGGTATAGGAAACTGTCAGGTGAAGGCAACTTAAGGGTTAGGTATAGGGGACTGTTAGGCTAAGATGGGTTTAGGGTTAGGCATAAGGTACTGTTAGATGAAGGCAGCTAAAGGGTTAGGTATAGGGTGCCTTTAGGCTAAGGCGGGTTAAGGGTTAGGTATAGGGTGCCTTTAGGCTAAGGCAGTTTAAGGGTTAGGTATAGGGTACCTTTAGGCTAAGGCGGGTTAAGGGTTAGGTATAGGGTACTGTTAGGTGGAGGCAGTTTAAGGGTTAGGTATAGGATACCTTTAGGCTAAGGTGGGTTAAAGGTTAGGTATAGGGTACTGTTAGGTGAAGGCAAGTAGGCAAGTTACGGGTTAAGTTTAGGGTTTCAGGATAAGGTTATCTTTTTGGGTTATGCTCAGAATAAGATTGGGATTTAGGGATAAGGTTGTGATTAAGAGTTAATTTCAGGTTAACGGTAAGGGGTTAGTTTCTGGAAAAACTGATATAATATTTTTGAATGACATATAGTACATTTCAGGTGTACAGTAATTTCACCTTTTGGGTTTCAATACCCAACAGAGAGCTGCTCACATTAGCTGCTCACATTAAACTATGTAGAGGATAAATCAGAATATCTCTACATCTTAATTCCCGTTTGTAACCCTTTATTCTTCTTTTTTAAATAAAAATAAACTACAATCTATTTGATTTGCGTGAATTATAAAGTTGTTGTTTTTTTTTTAATTAAAAACCTTCTACATGTTTCTGCTTTTAGTGAATGAGAAGACCACAGAAGTAATCCAGGCTGCTTTCAGACATGCAACATTTCCTAACATCACCGGAGAGAAGGCAGTCAGATTTCTGGGGTCTGTCACCTATGGCCTAACCAAGTAAGGACAACAGGGTACAGACTTATAAATACCTCATTCTGCAGGTTTAAAAAAAACGTAGAATCCACATTTAAAATCATAATAAATTATCTGGAACCGTTTCAATCATTTGTCAAGTCTTATATAGTAACCATTTAAAACCACGTCTCATGTTACACCCATATTCAAGGTGTAACATAAAACATAATGCCATCAACACCACCCCACCTTGATCCTGATCAGGGCCGGTGCCAGGATTCTTGCCTACACAGGCAAGGTGCATTTTTGCGCTCCCCACCTACCCGACCCCGACCCCCTGTAAAAACAGGGCATTTTGACAAGTACTTGTCAAAATGCCCTGATGTTTGCGCTATGGTTTTTTTTCACTTACCTTCGGCGTGGGAGAGCAGCGGCGAGTCAGCGCTGGTCCGGTGGGAAGAGCTCCAGGTGGGGTCCTAATTTAGCTGGCCGGCGACTGCCTGAGGTGCCGCGCGTGTCGGATCCTCAGGCATTCGCCGGCCAGCTAAATTAGGGCCCCACCTGGAGCTCCTCCCACTGGACCAGCGCTGACTCGCCGCTTCTCTCCCGCACCGAAGGTAAGTGAAAAAAAAACAAAAAACATAGCGCAAACATCGGGGCATTTTGACGAGTACACGTACTTGTCAAAATGCCCTGTTTTTTCCACCCTCACCCTGCAGCGCCCTCAGGCGGCCGCCTGACTTGCCTTGCGGTAGCGCCGGGCCTGATCCTGATCCTGCTCCCGCACTTACCTAAATCACTTCCCCCCGCAAGCTGCTGCTGTTTTTTAAATCTGGCACAGCTGTATGTGGCTTACACAGGATCTGTGAATGGAGAAACTAGATGTCCCATCTGCCACGGTGGCAAAGGGACTTGTGGTTCTCAATAGCGTACAAGTTAGTTGACAACACTATACTTGTAGTCCATTCATTCTTCCTCCTGTCCCTGTAACTGAAAGTTCCTACCTTGCTATGGACAGGGATGGGAGGGAGAACTTGCAGAAGTCAGAGCATTGCACCCATGATCAACTGATCGCAGTTACAATGCTTTACTGGCACCAATGCACAAACGTTTTTAAAAATGCAATTTTTTTTCTTTTCTTTTTATTATTATTATTTTTTTTTTTAAAGTGGACATTGCCTTTAAAGGATCAGTGCATCCAAATGTGATATTTTAGTTATAGGTGGACTATAATGGGCTGATGAGGACTATTTTTTATTGTCTTTTAAAAAAAATGTTTTTAAACAAATATAGATAAAACCTGAAGGTAATTCCATGTTATCTTCTAGTTTAGAAATTCCTCTCCAATTTGTTAGGTGACCTGCACTGACATCTAGTGGCCAGAATTAAAACGGACAAAAATTCTAATGACACTCTTAACAGCATGTGGAGTCAATTTTGTTTGGTTTATTGAACGTTTGCCGGTTCAAAACAGGGAAACAGTTTTACAAGATTATCACTATAAGGAAGTGTCGGAACTTTGTCTGTTTGGAATGACCTGCATTTAGTTGAAGCAGAGATAAAATGTATGTGCAGGCACCTCTACGTACAGTTTATACTTCTTAAAGTGCTCTTTTTTTAAATTAAAAGACAGGGTCACGTAAAGGGGCACAATACTAGAAAATGGCTTTATTAAATAATACATCTTCTATAATTAAAGTGATATTATAGTAAAACTTTTTAAAGCTATTTCAAATGCTGATGATATCATTTAGAATGGATGCTGCTCTTTGATGTTTAAAAGTTTTAGTTTCCCGCAGAATCAGCTGGTCTTCTGAGCTCTGGTCTTGATATCCTGTTTTAGGATGGCCCCGTTCCCTTGCAGGGCCCTATGGAGCCACCCTTGTGTGTGCTAGTAAGCTGTGCGCGTCTCCACAAACATAAAGAAACAGCAAGGCAGTTTCTGTCTGCTCCAGTTTTAATAAATCCCCCCTCCCTGTACTTAACACATGCAAAATAAGAACATCTTTCAATAGACAACCTGCACCTTTTTTTAAGTGTTAGCTTAACTATGGCTATGGCTGTTTATTCTGACTGATCTCCATGTGATGCAGCATCGAGGTCAGCGATCTGTCTATTGAGAGCAGTGGAGTGGAGCTGAAGAAGGATGACGCAGTGGACATCATGATCAGAAATGTTAGCGCTTCTTTTAAAGGAGTTCTCAACTATGGATATGGGACCTGGTTGTAAGTGTTAATATTGTATATTAATTATTCATCATGTGTTATTATTTCAATGTCATTTTGTATGCTATGGAATTATATTTTGTATGATATGGAATCTAATCAGCCAGTAATACCTGGTTGAAAAAAAAACTGCCAGGGTTATTCACTAAAGGGTGAAGTTTTCGTAGAAGGCAGGAGAAGTGAACGATCTAGGACAACAAAGCTGAACTGGAAAGTGAGCTGAATTGGAGAATTTCTCCAAATCAGCTATGCTGTCCTAGATTGTTCACTTCTCCTGTGAAAATCTTCACCCTTTTGTGAATAACCCTGTATGTCTTAGAGACCTTTCACATGGTCTTTTCGATCAGGTCAACCAAGTAAGTCTTTCAGATGGTCCTGATCGGAAGCCCAATGTTAGTCTATGGGCAGCTGGATCTAAACTGATGGGCATCTGTTTACATCCGGGTATCCCCGACTCCGGCCTGGTCCAGAAAAACAAACAGGTCAGAGTTCCGTTTCAGCATACCTGATTGTTCTGGATTGGGGGTAATCTGATGTAAACGGACACAAGTCTTTTTACATCCCATTCCCTATACACCAACATGGGTCTGGTCATATCAGTTGCAAAATGGAGGAAAAAACTTTTCATACATGGATGTCGCAACGGCAGCATCCATTCTAATCAGCAGGAGATTGATGTATGGATCCCCTCCTGATCGGAATTGCGTGAAAGGGGCCTTATAAACCACAAAGGTATAATTTTCTCACTTGAGCTGTTCATAACATTGCACTCAATGTAGTTTAATATATTTATTTATTACTGGAATTTATATATCGCTGACAATTTAGACAGTGCTTTTACATAGTATACGTTCACATCAGTCCCTGCACTCAAGGAGCTTACAAGTTAAGGTTCCTCTCACATGCATACATACAGGCAGAATTTAGAAGGAGCCAATTTACCTTCCAGCATGTCTTTGGAGTGTGAGAGGAAACCAGAGTACCCTGAGAAAACCCACGCAAGCATAAGGAGAACAGGAAAACTCCTTGCAGCTAGTGACTTGGCTGGGATTTGAACCAGGGTTCGTTCCCAGGTGCTGTGCGGCAGAAGTGCTAACCACTACGCCACACGGCCAGTGGCGTAACAACCGGGGGGGCAGGGGGGGCACTTGCCAGGCTGCCCAATTTAACAAGTATCAGCATTTTCTACAGTCTATAGGTGTTTTTTAGGCTTGAGCAATTTTGTTTCAGCCAATAAGAAGCTAGTTACTAGGACCAGGAGATGGTTGAACTTGCATTTTATAGGCCTTCCCATTTTAGTCTATTGGGCAAAAAACACGCAATTCTGCCCATAAAATCAGCTTTTCTGATCTACAGGCAACATAACTCTCAGGTGTGAATGGACACAATTGAAAATAATAGAAATCTTTATTTTGAGTGTTGTCAAGCTCTAGGTAGTATGTAAAAAAACACTCAGTTGTGAATAGGGGCTTAGTGACATTCTTGGGGGTATTTTTGAACTCAGCAATAGTAACCCTTTGTTGTGCTTGGGTTCACAAGTTTCCTACATTTCTAGACATTTCCTCTCTATACCCTTTTCCCTCACATTCTTATAATTAGTAGACTTGGGACAGACTAAATATATATAAGCAAGACACTTTTTTTTGTCTTTGATAGAGTAAGGAATGGCTAAAACCCCTTTGTTTTTTTATGTTTGTGTCCCATTTGGAGGTTTACCTCCACTTTTCCATTTCTGGAGATGCAACAGGAAGTGAGAGAAAAGTAAGGCACTGGAAGATGTACCCTCACCAAAGACTGGATTTATACATTTTTCTCCCCTAGGCCTGCAATCTTGTGCCGCCTTTAAACTCCTCTCCTACAAACACACACACGCAGAGCAACCAAAGCGAGTTTACTAAGATTTTGTAATATTATAACTAGGGATGTTCAGCTTGAGGGAGGCGCTCATAATTCTGCCCTGCTAACATGAATAGGTTAAATCATGATCCATAGTACATAATAGTACATAACATGTAGTTGTACTATGGATCATTTAACCCATTCATGTTAGCAGGGATCATTGTAAATCTATTGCTGCAACGTACGGGACATTTGTGCTGTATATGTACAGTACATATAGAATGCACTGCAGCAATAGATATACAATTCTGCACTGCTAACATGAATGGGTTAATTGATCCGTAGTACAGGGCTACATATCATGTACTACGGATCATTTAACCCATTCACATTAGCAGAGGATAATTGTAAATCTATTGTTCAGTGCATTCTATATGTAGTATATAGTACATGTACATATAGAGTGCCTGCAACAATACATTTACAATGATCCTCTGCTAACATGAATGGGTTAAATGATCCCTAGTACAGGGCTACATATAGATCATTTAATCCATTCATGTTAGCAGAGTATAATTGTAAATGTATTGTCTGCACTGTATTAGCAGTGTGTACTCTATATGTACTCTATATGTAGTACATATAGAGTATATACTGCTAATACAGTGCAGACAATACATAATTGCTTAATACTGCTAAATAGAAACCCCCCAATCTGCCCTCAATCACTGTGCCGGAGAGAGCAGCGACGAGTCAGCGCTGGTCCGGTGGGAGGAGCTCCAGGTGGGGTCCTAATTTAGCTGTCTCAGAGGTGATGGCCAGCTAAATTAGAACCCCAACTGGAGCTCCTCTCGCCGGACCAGCGCTGACTCGCCGCTGCAGTTTTTTTTCTTTTTCTTACTTACCTCGCCGAGTGTCCCGTCACTGCTGCTCCAGTGGGCGGCGCTCCGAGCGGGGTCATCTGGCAGTCTCCGGCCATCTAAATTAGGACCCCACCTGGAGTGCCGCCCACCAGAGCAGCAGTAAAGCGACGCTCGGCGAGGTAAGTACGAAAAAAAAAAAAAACATAGCGCATGTATCCGGGCATTTTGACAAGTACAAGTATCAGTTCTGTAGAGACCAGGGATGCACTGATACCGATACTAGAATTGGTATGGTGCCAATACCAATACTAGTATCGGTATCGGTGACGATCCCGAGTATTTGGGTGAGTACTCACCCAGCTGCTCCTATACTGACCCCCCATACTGGAACTTCCAGTCAAACGGAGATTTCCTCTGATCGGCAGTGCCGACGGGGAACATGGAGCTGGCTTTCCAACCAATCAGGTAATGACCCGCCTCCTGGCTTTCTGAGTGGCTGGGAAGCTGACTCAATGCCGATTGGCTGGGAAGCCAGTTTCCCAGCCAATCAGCATGCAGCTGGCCAAACAGCATGCAACCGCCTTCCCGGGCAATGAGGAAGCCAGGCGGCGAGTAATGACACGCCGTCTGGCTTCCTGATAGCCCGGGAAGCCGGCTCCATGGCAGAGTAAACACCAGTATCGGTACTCCGTATAGGTGAGTACCGAAAAATAAATATCGGTACCCGTACTTGATACCGAAAAACCGGTATCGGTGCATCCCTAGTACAGACACAACCAGAATCATGTCCACAGACACACAATCAGTACTGTACGGTAGACATGTGCACCGACAAAAAATTAGTTTAGTTTAGTTTTGATTCGGATTTTGCGTTATTTTGTTTTTCGGGATTTGGGTCCGAAAGTCAATTTGTTTAGTTGCAGCAAAGTGCCATTAAAAAAAAATTTTGACACTTTGCTGCAACGAAAATTCATCCATAAATGAAAATTCATACAGACTACCGTGAATTTCGTCCGAAATGTCGTTTTCGGAAATTCAGATTCGTTATCATTTACCATTTCTGTTATTCGGAAATTCGGATACATCCGAATCTCCGAATAACGAAAATTTGTCAGAAAAACTCATTTTTCTAAAACGAATTGCACATGTCTACTGTACTGACACAATCAGGAACATGTCCACAGAGACACAATAAGTACTGTATACACACAACCAGGATCATGTTTTGTCTGTGATTAAGTAATACTTGTAATGGGATATGTATTGAAGTTTCAGGCCTATATTAGAGAGAAGCTATCTCATTAAAATAAATATTTTTTTACCGTTTTAGTGTAAATGTTCGACAGTCTATTGATTTTGAAATCTATTCCTCAATTGATCTGCAACTGAACACCAAACTAAGTAAGTAAAGAGAGTAAGTGTATGTATGTGTAATAATTTGACAACAATCTCACTGATGGGGTGGATGTATTTTTAATTTAGACTTGCATGTGCAGTATTATGTGTTCTATTTCATTATATACCATATTTGGTTACAAATAATACAAATGAGCAGTAACTATCACATTGTATGTAAATGGGAAAACAAAACCTTTGTTTACTGTGCAGCTGAAGGCACACAGAAATGCAAAGCAGGCACTACTTTACAACACACACAGAGACCATGGGGAACAACAGCAGCCATCCTCCAGAAGGAAGGACAGTGTCAGGATTAGACATGTGCGATTCGTACCCCTTACTCATTCACAAGGCGGGCGGCATCTGGGTGCCCCCTTAATTAAAGGGGTACCCCAATGAAAAAAAGCCCCCTGCCCGCAGACCCCCACAACCACCGGGTCAGGGTTGTGGGGAAGAGGCACGTGGCCTGGTAAGGCGCAGGGAGGGGGGGCGCTCGATCGCGCCACCCCCCCCCCCTTTTTCTGCCCTGCTGGGCCAGTGCTAGGATCAAGGGTCTGGTAGAAAGAGGCATGGTATGAATTGGGGGGGAACCTCACGCTTTTTTTTTCCCTCTCCTGCAGACAAAAAAATAAATAAATGTCTAATGTCATTTTGCTGCAATTAAATTTCGTCTAACAAACGGAATTTCATCCAGACTAGACTACCGCTCACGTATTTGGTCCGAATCCCGAAACAAATTGAATTTCGGACCCGAATCTCGAAAAATTATATAACGCAAAATCCGAATCAAAACGAAACCATTTTTTTGCCAGTGCACGTCTAATCAGCAGGAATTCAGAGATTATTTGAGGATCCAGAGCTGACTAATGCACAAATTAGATACATTGTTGTTAATAGATAAGGTACTTAAATGCATTTTTAAGATTTAACTCCTGAGTTTAGTGTCACTTTAAGCAAATGTTTTCCAGTGTCTTGAATGGGAATGTAATGTAGATGTAAATAAATGCACACCGTACAAACCTAGAATTGTATGTATAGAGCAGAACTATATGAGGAAGGAACAGGCAGAGCAGAAGACAGGTACCACGCCTAAGAGGTTGATTTTAAAGACCACAAACAATGTATGTATATATATATATTTCTGGCAAAGGGTAATTAATACAGCATTACAACCCATGGACATGTGCTATATTTCTTTCATCCATTTAACTGGCTGCTTTTCCGATCTTTGCTGTGTGTTCACTGCCGCCATTTTTTTGGTATCTGTTCAATCCACCCCTCAGACATGCCTTCTACACATGGCCACTCGTGGACAGTCAGTGCCACAAGGTTCTGTCTACACACATAAAGGCAAAAAATATTGCAAGGGTGGCATTTGAGAACATCAAATAAAACAGGGTAAGCAGTGCATACAGCAACTATTGTTCACAACTCTTCAGACATGAATGAATTCATGAATCTGGATTTAGATTTTCAAGATCTGAGTTTAACAAAGTTAGTTGTTGTATAACAATTATTGACTACGGTAATTATATTTAGGCCTAAATTTATCAGCATCCTTGACTGTATAGGTAAATATATGATGCCTTCCTTAAAGGAGTTGTAAAGTCCCAGTATATACTATCCTGTTATAACATCAGTATTGTAATAGGAATACATACTATAGCTGTATAGTGCAATCAAAGCTTACTTGAAAAAAATCCCCTTTTTGGATTTCTTCTTTGCATCTATTTCCCTGCTGCTTGATATGATGCACTTTCAATTACTCAAGCCTGCATAGCCCATAATGCATTGCTTCCAGCAATCAATGATAATGTTACATGGTTAAAGGCAGGCTCCATGACATTTGTAACACAGGGAAGTGCATATTCTGAATTAAATTGTATCAGTGCATTGAGGAAGCACATCTTATAGGCATCTTCAGTGAGTACATTTACAAACCTCTAGGTTAATATAGTTATTAGGAGTGGGATAGAACTTATAGAAATTCAACATAGAAATACATATTTATTTTTAGTTTTTGAACATAGATATCCTTTAATCACAAGTGACAGCTCTCAGCATAATGGATGATTTCAAATGCATACACAGTAGATTGTACACATTTCAGATCACGCAGCTGTACAGTACAGGTGTAACATCATTGGTGTGTGTAATGTTAATGGAGAACACAGTCTTTATGTTGCAGTATGAGATGTACACAGAAGCCGGCTATAGCAAGCTGATTGTAAAATACTTTCCTAAGAGCTGCACACAGACAACAAAGGAAAATGTGATATCACATTGACATCACTTCTTCTATAAAGTAGATTTGGCTTGCCTAGGCTAAAAAGATTAGAATTAACTTCTGTAAGTTGAGGAAGGCAGGCTGAGCTCAACGCACCCTCAGCTCTTTCACCATCTCCCATCATTTCCTGAGGAAGTTAATCTGTAAGAGAGAAAGAAAGCCAGAATGTTTCAGAAATGTAGTAGGATATGTCTGCAGAATCCCGTTAGATATAGAATTATTATGATATACATTGCAAGTCTGTTACATATTGACTGGTAAAAAAGGTACAAGGGAGATGATGTCCAAAGCAGCAAATCACCAGCCCAACCTGCATTAGAAAATCAGCTCTGCAATCTACTCACTTGCTATAGGTAATATCTCTGCCATACTTTGCTTTGATATTTATTAATGCAGGAAAAACTGTATTTAATTTTACAAAACCAAAATGACAAGTTGCATTTAGCCCAGTTTTGGTTCACTTCCTGTCGAGAACACGTTAATGTATACATTATCTGAAAAGAAGTACCGTAGTTAGGGAGTTCCCTTTGTGTGGTCACCAAACGAGAACAAGCCATGAAGTAACTGTACTGGCAGTAGTAATGTGTTCATTCCCTAAATTACAGATATGAAATACTGAGAGAAATGAATACTGAAACTGCTTTTTAATTTGTTTTGTGTCTCATCACTATACAGCCTGTGGGAAGAATCGTGTCGCTGCAGACATATCTGACTGTTACCTATCATTTCATAAACTGGATTTATACCTTCATGGAAACAAACAGTAAGATATTCCTAATAGTATTATTAATGTGACACTAAACTCAGGAGTTAAATCCTAAAAATGCATTCAAATACCTGTATTTTATTTGTGTATCACTCAGCTGTAAACCCTAAAAGAAGAACTATGAGGTGAGTGATTTACACTCATCCTCATAGTTAGAGGCGACCTGTGACATTGAAACTGTCACACGTCGGCTCTATACATCAGGAAGTGAGCGAACACATACCGCTGCTCACTCACTCACTTCACGATCATCTCCCTGCAGAGAGCGGTGACTGTCAGTCATCGCTCCCCGCACGGATCCCCCTCCTTCCCGCTCCAATCCCCCAGCGCTGACTGGAGGAATGGATGGGGAAGGGGCGGGCACAGCTGGCTCTGCCTCTAGATAGGCAGAGCCCACTGTCAATCAGCCAGATGGGTGGATCTCCACAGTATTGTAGGGATCCGTCCCAGCTGTGGTGCTCTCAGTAAATAGTGGGCAATAGCCCGCTATTTACTTAGCTTTGGGTCTTGGAGGAGGTTAGTATATGTCCTCACGTGACCTTAAAGAGAACTAAGGTACCCCATAGTTCTCATTTAAATCATCTCTGAATTGGTGCTGACACTGTCATTCCTTCTGAAGTGTGACTACTTTTGTTCCCCATGGTCCCATGAAGGACTACAATCTCAATATAAATTAGTACGTGGGATTGTAGTCCATCATGGGATTGTAGTCCATCATGGGATCGAGCTTGGAGCGGTGGCTACTTTACAACACACACAGGGACCATGGAGAACAAAAGTAGCCACCCTCCAGTAGGAAGGACAGTGTCAGCACCAATTCAGAGATGATTTGAGGCTCTACAGCCCAGTGATACACAAGTCCAGTATTGTTGAAAGTTAGGGCACTTAAACACATTTTAAAGATTTAACCCCTGAGTTTGTCATTTTAAGCTTTCAAAGTCAAGAAGGTGTCAGGCCTTCTCAACCCTACTTATCACTAATAGGTTAAGTGTCAGTTGAACCAGGAGCTTTTTTACACACCAAAGAAGTGGTCAATGAGCAAATCATGTCAAAGACGACCCATGCTGTTTGTCAATATATTGCTGCAGCTCAAAATGCGTGATTGATTTCCTTACACAATGACACTATTTCCCTTTGGGTACCACTGCTATGATTACCATCAGGGCAGGGGCATTGCCATAATAAGGCAGCCTGAGGCGGTAGCTCGGCTGGCAGCGCCTTCCGCCTGGGACCCCTAAGCTTCGCCCAGCGGTCCCCTCATCTCCTGGTGGCCTAAGGCAGTGAATAAGGTAGGGACGACCCTACATGTGGTCGCCTCAGGCTAGAATAAGGTAGGGACAACCCTACATCAGGGCATTTTTGACACACCCTTCAAAATACACATAACTGTCAAATAATACCCCCCTTAAGAGACACAGGCCTGGTTGCTCTGAAGCATTTAGTTCCACCACACACCAAGAAAAGCTCTGCGTGAAGACAAATATATTCTCCACAAGCATTTCATTAGGTTTTGTACCATTCATATGGTATCTTGCAGATATGTAAGTAAAGAACCCCATTTCTCTTCTTTTGTAAATATCAACATACTTTTTGTAAATTAATAACGATAAAAGGCTCTCTCGAAATTTCCCCACTTGTACTTGTTTTCCCTACTCTATATTTGATCTTTTGAGAATTCCACTTAAAGTCCTTCTGCATGAAAAGCGTCATTATATGCATTATATGCAGAATGAGCTCAGCCTCTCTATTTGCTAAAGTGTCCCAGATATATAGATGTTATTTTTCCTAAGCAGTACCCTGAAATATGTCTCATTTGTCTGGAGTTCCTCCTGACAAATAGCAGTGCACTTCCTAGTATGTGAGGGTGACTAGGCACTCTTGCACCTAAAGCCTCACAGCTGTATATCTGCAGTGTGAGATATAAGACACTGCTGCCTCTGTTTCCTAGTCTCACGAGATTTGAAGTTAAATTTGGTGATATCTCTACTGTGCTGTTGTTTTTGCTGGAGTTTCTGACATGTGGAAATCAATATCTGCCCTTACCAACATACATCCTCCATACAAAAACACAGTGAAAAACAAGATATGGAACGTCAGTAATGGGGAAAGTTAAACTGCAGGGAGATCACAGGCAATACTATTAACCAATCCTTTGCCCTCTGCATGACTTATTTAGAGCACACTGGACTAAATTAGAACGATATAGACAACTTCCACTCATATAGACAACATAGGTTCACTTTTTAAATAGATCTGTCATTAAAATTCACACTTTGCTTGAATCAGAAAGGAACATGTCAGAATCATCAAAATATATTATCTAGAAAAAAAATATATTTCTTGTTGTGACTCCCTAATGTGGCCTAAAGCCTAAGCAAGAGATCCTATTTTCTACTTTTCTACTACGTTCTATAAATATTGAGTTCAGTAAACAAAAAGCTTTTTAGAGAAAGAGATAACATGAAAAAAAAGCAGCCTAAGGCTCCTCCTGCTGGTTGAAATGCAGAATACAAAACATGAAAAAGCAGTGATTTATATATTCCTAACTTAAAAAAAGTCTTAAAAAATTGTATTTTTTTTAGTCCTGAACATAGAAAGAAAACATGTTCAAAGCCACTATACATTACATTCTATGCTAATGTACTATGTATAACTCATAAATATGATAAATATTAGTCCGTACAGTAGAACATGGTAACCTTTCTTCCAAATGTAATGCTTGTTTTATTTCCTACAGGCCTGGATGGCTGAAACAGCTTTTTACTGACTTTATTGCATTCACACTAAAACTTGTCCTAAAAAGTCAGGTGAGCTCAAGTTTTCCAGTGTTTTCTGTGTGGAACTATGTTATAATGTGGAACTGATAAAAAAAATAGTTTTGTATTAATAAATAAATAATAAAGCAGTGCAAAAAAGCAGAGATAACAAAGAGCTGAAGCCTGTGACAGCCGATCAGTTATAGTTCTAGCCATGGGCGTAACTAAAAAATCACAGGACCCCATAGCAAAAAATGTTATGGGGCCCAGTGATTTCTAGTTACGCCCCTTGTAGAGCCCCCCTGAGATCCCACACACCCGAGAGTGACCCTGCAGAGCCCACCATAAACTCTCTATGACTCTGCAGGGTCTCAGGTGGGCTGAACACACCCCTGCACACCTCTTACCTGTCAGCCCCGATCCTCTGTCAGACTTCTCCACCGCTGGACCCCGCCTCCTCCTCAGTTGCCGAGGGGCCCCACCCACTCCACCATCACCAGGCCTCACCTCCACCTACACTGCGGTCGCCAGGGCACCGCCTCCTCCTATGCTGCAGCCACCAGGCCCCCGGCCTCCTCCACTGCAAGCTGCTGGCTGTCACTGACTCAGCAGCGGCTGTGAGGAGGAACGCGCTGCTGCACAGATCACTGACACGTTGTCAGTGATCTGGACAGCGGGGCGTTCCTCCTCACAGCCGCCAGTGACAGCCAGCAGCCTGCGATGCCATAGCGACCCAGGCAGCATGCACGGCTTCAGGGGGAACCCTCCTTTGTTCCTGGCAAGGCCCCCCGTGCCCCATTGCGGCCGCCTGGGTCACTACTGGTTCTGGCAATGAAAGATGGTTGCTAAGTGGGTAATAAGGATCACTGGAGTTTGTTTTCATCCACCTTCTTAAATAAACCCATGTTTTAAGTATTTCATATTATAGTTTATATTCCATATTGAATATTTATATTATATCATTCTATGGTTTAAATTGGAACTTTACATCAGAATGGTGGAGGGATATTGCCATAATGTATACAGCAAACCTTCGTACCTACTAGTGTGCTCCCTTCCAGAATTGACAGGTCTATACTCAATGTTGCTGCTGTGTCCTCCGCCACCTAGCTCTACCTCCTAGCAATTTTTTTCAGACTTCTATTCCAGTTTAAATAAATAAATACCTAAACTGAGTTTCCAGTGTAGAAGGGCTGAAGTCAGACCTCCGGATCGGCTAGTCACAGATTCCCTAATGTGCAGTAAGAAGCATTTGCTTATCTATCCTTGCAGTGTAGAGTTATTGCCCTCTGAACGTCTGCTACAGATCAGATGGAAATTAACCCTGTATGCCTAATGTAGTCATAACTCCCAGAGTATTTCCTCTGCTAAAACCATATATGAGGGCTGAGGTTTGTGATTCGTTTTACTTTTATTCGTAAAACGTTTTATGAAGCTAGAGTTTAAAGAAATTTGTATTAGGGTTGAAAAGTACGTGTGTGCAAGAGGAAAAACTATTTTGTTATAATATAAAATATAATTATGACTATTTTTATTAATGCTACTATAACTTTTATCTCCAGCACTGCTCCCTAGTATTGTACTTCCTGTGCTGATAGCTCCCCCGCTGCCTGTATTTGATACATACTTCATGTTAAGATCAGTGACTTATATTTTCACAGTTGACACTGCCAGTTTCGCAATGGGGCCCTATCATTTGTAGTTATGCCCCTGAAAAGAAACATTGCACAACAGTAGTGACCTTTATAATGGGACTTTGTCTGAGAGCTAACAACTCACCAAGAACCAGAATTTGTCAAATGGCAAATGATCTGTTGCCGGGAAGGCGGGGCTAAAGTTTTGCAATGGTGCTCCATGATTTGTAGTTACGCCCCTGAAAAGAAACATTGCACAACAGTGATGACCTTTATAGTGGGAGCTAACAACTCACCAAGAACCAGAATTTGGCAAATGGAACGTGATCTGTTAAGGCAGTTTATCTTTACAACCTGTTTTATTTTAGCCCAGCAGAAATGTAATAAAATAAATAATCTTCAACTGAAAGTTTAATTTAATATAAGCACATAAAACTCCCAGGCATTTCTGTAACCAGTCTGTAGCCTTCTAATCCTAGCCATACTGTGCCACGTTACATTGGAACTGGGATGGCTACCTGTGAAGCCACACAGAGCATCATCAATATAGAGGTGGCAACCACTGATACACTTTTGCTCATTTTAACAATTTGGTAAAAATCATTACAACATATTCAGTCGAGATACCACAACTCCCTGTGTTCCATAATGATAAAGAGGAACACCCTATGCCACATTCCTGTAGGCAGAGGACATACCCCCACCATGCTCTGAGTTAAACAGACCATACAGGATTTATATGCACAAAAATAATCAATGGAATCCACAAATGCAATCCTTTAAAATTTTGGGTTGGGCAAAATAATTTTAAATAACACTATTCCTAGTTAAATAATACATTTATATACAAAGGTGTATGTGTGAAAACAATAATGAGGACAGCTAAGGAGGAAAGAGTGATTTGGTTCCAAAAGAGTAATTGTACCTTCCAATAATGGATAACTGAGAGTTATTGGATACTGTTAGCAAGCCCCTCTGAAATTCAGCTGGAGCACCTTCTTCCTCATTCTCATCCCTTTCTTTTGTCCTCTCTGCTTTGTAGAAGCTGCTTCATCTTCTTGGAGTGAGGTAGTAGTAGTACAGAGTAGTGCTGGCTATATACATTGCCGTTAGAATGCGCTAGCCTTTAGTCAGGTTTTCCATGTTATTTTATCCTGACTGTATTACAAATTGTTGCTCAAGCCCTGAAGAAGGGGAGTCCTTTCCCCAAAATGCATTTTTTGTTATTGATGTTCTCATCTCTATGTACGTACGGTCCAGAGTTATCACCCACCTATCAGACCTCAACCACAGTTATAGACACTCTAGAGCCTGTTTGATCCAATGACAGATGGCATTTCTGTATGCGTCCCTGTCGCAGAATGTATACAACTGTGCTTATATAATAATTAATTTATTCAATTACGATACCTGTGCAATGTACAACCTATATATAATAACCTTTACATTTTCCTTTGTATGCATATTTTAGATTTGTAAAGAAGTTAATTATGTGGCAAATGTACTGGCTGAATTCATTCAGGACAGAGCTGGTAAGTTATAATGAATAGAAAATGCCATTCCAATTGTTAATAAGTTCACTAACAGTGCAAAATAGTTATACAGTATGCTGTATAACTGAGAATATAACTGTAAACCATTCCAACTGGGGACTCCTACTAATGTCTCTCATCCGTCGTATTAAACAACAAGTAGTGCGGAGCAAATAGCCAATTGCACATTGCAGTAGCAACATCAGAATTCCATTCAATGAAGTCAAATCAATACAAATTGGATTTTGATTGGTTGTCTTGGCTACTGCACTCACTTTTGCTCTGTACGATGTTATATTAAATATGCCCAATGAAGTGTTAGAGGATTACTGAAACATGAAAATTACACTTTCTGGTTTATATTTTGAAATCACCACCTTTGTTATAACCTCCTAAATCTTTTTGCAGAAGACTTTTTGAGTGTTGGAGATATTCGAATGAACATTGATGTAACATCCTTTCCAATCATAAAAGATACATATATGGAGTCTCATCATAAGGTTAGTGCTACCCCTTCCTTTTTGTGCTACTCACTTGGTGTTACCTACAGGCTTGCGACATGCTCTCCTCCTAGAACGCACCACATACAGCCAAAATCACTGCTTAACTCGCTCTGAGGAACATTTTAAAATGTAACATAAATGTATCTTTAAAACACGGCTGTTTTTCTTTTTTCCTTTAGGGTTTCTTGGAATACAAGAACCTTAGTGTTTACTATAACAGCTCCATATATGCACCTTCCTTGCTAACAGAAGACAAGATGCTCTACTTCTGGTTTTCAGAGCAGGTCCTGGACTATTTAGTGCTGGGCTATTACCTGGATGAGCGACTGGTCCTGACACTGACAGGGGCTGAATTAAAGGTAATACAAGCATAGAAGTGCACACGCCGCATTTAAAGGTATCAGAGCCCATGACAATGGTAGATACAAATAAAGACAGTTTCGTATGACTCCAGGATTAAAGCCCAACTCCATGCAAATATAAAAAAACACAAATTATTGCAATTATATACTTACTAAAAAACATTAAATGTATTTTTAAATTCCACTAGTATAAATAGCTTAATTTGACTTGATATCAGCCTGATGTAATCGCCTGTAGAGTAGAACTCAAACTGCGAAAGCAAGGGGCAGCACTAGAGGCCAATCAGGTGTACTGCATACTGACAGTTGTGGGCAGGAGGAGAGGGTAGAGTTGGCAGAGGGATAACCTGGTCAGTGTTCTGCTGCTCCTTGACTGTCTAGTCAGCAGTTCTTCATTTACAAAGCCCTGCTGTTAGGCAGGGCTGTGTAAATTGCATGATTGGATGGAAAGATGTACAATTCCATTGACAGAAAATATAACTCATATATGAAGTTTAAATGCATAATTTGCTGTTTTCCTGGAGTTCAGCAATGTCATAAAATAAAAAAATAAGTACTATATCTGTAGCATATAAAAATTGGTTACAATGTGTGGCAGTGCAGGGCAATGCCATGGCGTAGTATGGCAACATTGGCACCCAGGACTCTCAGCCAAAGGGGCTGAGAGGGTCCAGAATGTAAACAATGTTATAAGGAAGAGCCTGGCTTTTCTGGTCCTTTCAGGTTTTCCTAATTGTAGCTGGGATCTGGAGCTCTGGAGATCTCTTAGAGCTCTGGTTGGGATGATATCTCCAGTCCTGGGGCCAGGTGTTACCAATGACCAGCTTGGGCTGATCAAGTGGCTCAGAGCAGCCTTATTAGGAAGCCAGCCCAGTGCTCGAAGAGTGGGAGTTGTGTGTGTATGCGTGCAGGAGGCACACGGACTCAGGTGCATGCTGGACTCACGAGGAACAGCCGCGGGAGGCTGGGAGAGGTCAGGATGTTCGGTGACCCTTGTACCTGTGGTACACACTGCTGAGAGAGCAGATTGAGGGCTCATGAGGGGTGAGCAGCGAGAGTTTCTTGGAGCTGTGGAAAGCTACAGAGAGAAGCTAAAAGACTGTCCTGTATGTTGCTGCTAGAAACTGTCTTGAGTAACAGGGGAGGTCTACCCTGCAGATGGAATGATATATTTGCTGTTTGCCCTTTTCTGCATTTTACTTGCACCTCCTGTCTACAGTGGAGTGTCCTTGTTACAAATGGTTAAAATGGTAACATTAATAGGAGGCTGCTCTGCTAATTTATAGACACAGCTGTGAAACAATCACTTAAGTTGCCCCAATGACTGCCCTCTTATCCTATTCCTATTGAGCCCTAATGCCCTTGTTCCACTCCTCTGTCTCAAATATTAAAATACATAACAATCGCCAAAGATACTACTTTAGCAAGAAAGCTCAAAACAATGATGTGTTTTGACCAAAATACGTTAGTAAGCTGTATTTTTCCATATCTACCAGTTTATTGCAATCATCTAATGAACCCAAAATACACAATACCAGTTAACATGACTTCTTGGCCTAATTTGATCCATTTAGGATATCTTTAAGGATGACAACATAGAATCACATCAGCAAATCATCAGTGAGGTAAGTTCCCCCTAAGCCAACAAATGATGTATGTGCTGATGTGGCATTGTTAGATATTATAGAACTATTAAGACTAAAACTGAGAACACTGATTTAATGAATGTATGAATTAACCAATATTCTACTGTAGCGCTCACCCCCGAAGGAGACGCTGGCATATGCCCAAATCATCATCACTCGTATGTCTAGAGGTATAATCTTCAGCCGTCCCACTAGCATTCAGCCGCCCTCTTCTACTGCCCACAAAGCTGATGTCTACTCCAGTAACGCAATGCTGAATAACTTTTATTAAACATCTTCACACTGGGGAGAGAGGGTATAGGCATCCTAGACTTCCAGCGTGTAATAAACATAGACTCCAGACTCAGCAGAACTTGTTAGCATCTCAGTGCTTATCCACTTGTAGTACAGCAAATAATAATTGGAGTAACAGATGAGCAGGAGATGAGTACAAATCCTCAGCAGGTGAAACACCAGTCATGCTCCAGAGGTCCTCTATGTTCCAGGCACCTCCAGCAGACATCAGCTTCTCTGGTTCTTCTCCTCTGACAAACAGCACAGGCCTCCTCCATACTGGAGGCCTAGGGAAACTCTTCCCACACTCCAGCCTCTGGCCACCCCCAGGCCTCATATCTATATAATCTATGGTTGGTCCTGGCTAGTCTGAGCACATGGAAAATCCCTCCAGTATATGTACCCTATCCCAGCATGAACCACTGGTTGAGAGAAACCCAGTGATTGGCTGCTGTACTGTACATGCACTACAGTGTCTCTCATTGGCTCTGCCCAGGGGGGCACAGGCAATGCCAGGCACCTGGAACTAACCAGATAAATTCCACCATAACCCAGCCAGGCTGACTACAGCCCTGGCAATCACTAAATGTCTAGTAGCCACATCACAGGTGATGGGGGCTACACCACTTTAAATACTGTGTCAGATTTAGGGAACATGTCTGTTTATTTGGTTTCTCTGGGTATTTGAAGGTAACTTATAAGTGTACAAATGGCTCCTTCACTATATCAGCCATTAATGAACATATGTATCACTGCAGAGCAATTCCAGAAGGCAATGTTTGTGCCTTTCAACGTCTTTCAAACGTGTTGAACACTAATATCTGTCATGGGTTAGAGTGCGGTTCCCTCTCTGTCATGGTATTTAATGAATCCTTGTGCAGTTACTGATATTGATCACTGTAATTCTGTTATTAACTTTTTGGTCATATAATTCTGCTAGAGATACAACAGTGTTTTACTTGTACTAATATTTGTCTATTTATGTCGATTGTTTAATGAGCTAGATCCTTCATGACCTTCCATTGAGTAACACTGTGGCCAAAGTATGGAGTCTCACCAGACCTCAAATCACAATGAAGCCCAAGGGGACAATTGTTAAGGCATCTGTAGCTGTCCAAATCAATGTATCTGCTACCAAAGAATTATATTTTGAAACAGTAAGTGAGAATTAAAAGGTTGCAAAGCCAAACACGCAGAGTCATTATACCAAGGGTTAATGTTATATGTACATCTGTTTTTTTCTTTGATGGTGAGTCCTTAGTGAGTTATTATTACATGGTTTCCTCTTTGATAATCCTCTGTTGAGTCATTATACTTTGTTAGCACTCTTTTGGTTATCTAAGTCATCACTGCCAACAGCCACCAATCACAGTCTTAGCAAGGCAAACTGTTCTCTCTACATTCACCAATCACATTTAATTGTCCAATTTAGTATATCTTGCTTCTTGTCTCTCTTACAGTTCTTTCAGTATTACGTCTCTGCAGTAGGCCTTTTTTATTAAAAAGTCCCAATAAAAAACTGCTCCTCCTAGCCAACGGACTTCTCATCTGCCAATAAAATACTGCTAGGGAAAACCTGATTGGCTACTATGACCAACAACAACAACTCTTCCTTAGGTCTCTGACATATGAAGCCTTTACTGTTGCTTTTCATTTCTTCATTTTTTTTCCATCAGTAGGATCTCTACCTAGCATTGTTCCTTGGCTTATAGGTATAACACCCTTAACTAAGGAAGGATATGGAGCTCAGCTGCGGAACCCCGTTCCGCGTTACACACCCAAGACCAAGGGTATTGTGCAGCAATGAATCTCGCCACTAGGTTCTAAGCATCATTGCACCAATCTCCCAAGAAGAAGGTTACCTGCCTGCCCCTAGTAACTAGCGTGCTGTATACAAGTTTTTTGTCTTCATGAGCAGTAATTTATAGCTAGCAGGTACGGGAGGTGGTGTGGTAATCGGGATATGAATAATATCAACAGTTGAGCAATTGCTATAGGAGGTTTATCAACCAGGTGAGTATACTGCACTGCACCTGGCAGGCAGACCGGTTAGAGTAACAATAGGAGCGATATACACAATAACTGACTGTTCACTTCACGATTCAGTATTGGTAGTATGATTATCAGAGTTCTGAGAGAATTGCAATTCAGTAACAGTTCACAGTCCCTTTCTGCACAATGAGCACCGCCAATGAACTACCACCGGATGGCAGTAGAGAGCTAAACACTATACTTGCAGTTAGATGTCTAAGGAAGTTGATCCTCCCCTTGGATCAGTGAGTCCTCGAGTGGATGAAGAGGCTGCAGTGAACTCCCTACGATCTGCCCGAGCTGCGAGGGGGGACAAAGGCTCTGTGAGGAGAGGTAGGGTAGAGAGGCTCCGCTGTGCTGAGATGCCAGTGAAGGTCTGGCGTCCGCATCGGTTGCTGGAACGCCAGACAAGTGAAGGATTCCGGTTTAAGAGGAGGAGAAAGCTTCTGCTCTGTATTTTTGTCTGATTGCAGGAGACTGTTACCACAATTCAGACCTCATATGGCGATAAGAAGCTTACACTGCTCCCAAATGATTCAATGTAAGTGGCAACCTATACGGTACCTACAGTGGTTTTGATTGCTTGGTTTCCTGCTGAAGAAGCTTAAAATGGTTCTAATGCCAGAACTTTGTTTCCTCTATTGTCGATTAACAGGGACACAGATTGGTAATATTAACCAACCTAGGGTTATACTGACACCTACAGGAGAAATGGACAGTAGGCACAGGAAACTGAAGACCAGCCTAGAGGCTGTAACCCTTCCAACCTTATACCTGCCCAGTTTTGCATAGTGTCTCCTTCCTCTCTGCTAGAATATTTTGCTTGAAGTTGGAAGAGTTTCTATTATCAACAGCTGCTGATAGATACCAGATCTGTTATATCCTGGAAGTTTCTCCAGTCAGCCAAGGAGTACTGGTAGATTCATGCTGGATAAATGAAATCCTGAAAGTTTCTCCAGTCAGCCAATGAGTACTGGTAGATTCATGCTGGATAAATGAAATCCTGAAAGTTTCTCCAGTCAGCCAATGAGTACTGGTAGATTCATGCTGGATAAATGAAATCCTGAAAGTTTCTCCAGTCAGCCAATGAGTACTGGTAGATTCATGCCAGTTAAATTAATACCTGGAAGTTTCTCCTGTCTACTGGAGACAGGTTTGCTAATTCTTCCATGCTGTTGTTCACTCTGTGATGGTCCTGCATTTCCAGTAATCAAAGTAATCTGTGTTCCAGCTATCAGGACTTCACATTGAGGTCAGGCCAGTATTGCATGAGGATTTATTTTTAAGTGTCAGACTCAGGGCAGTGGTATGTCATGATTATGTGCACATCTGATGCCAATGCTGGGGATTCACTATGCACTGTGGCTGTCTCATATGCAGCATACTGGAGAGCACTGCACTTTGTTACAAAGAACAATTCTGCTGGATACCCTGTTGAGATTTTTTTCTTGTTGGGCTGGTTTGCCTGTGTTGTTTTGATGCACCCAACTCGTTGTTTGAAGTGCTAATGTCATGGAACTGTATCCCATGATAGATGATAGAGGGATTAAGATTACCTTAAAATACCTTTCTCGGAGGGAGTCCATTGAGGTAAACCGCTCCATCCCCTTATATGCTCTTTTTCCTCGTTGGACTCTTGCTAGAACTAGGCAGGTGGGAGCTGGGATGGGCTATAGCCTCTAGGGCAGTGGTTCTCAACCTGTGGGTCGGGACCCCCTCGGGGGTCGAATGACGATTTGCCAGGGGTCGCCTAGTGGCTCTCGGCCGCCGGGAGAGAAACACTAGATGCCAGCTTCCTGGCAGGCTCGGGACGTGGAGCTGGGAACACGCCCGAGCCCATCCCTATCAGTGACAGTACTGCGGAGTATGTACCTCATTCGTTATATAGCCACACACTTTAAATCCAATTCTTCTAGTTACAGCTGCAGAGCCTGGTCCTGTCTTTGCCTATAGCAGTGGTTCTCAACCTGTGGGTCGCTGTGCAAGGTGAGAGTCCTCCTCAGCTCTCTCCTAGCGCAGCAGTGTCAGTTCTCCTGCCACGCCTCCAGATGTCGCTGCAGCAGCCGCGTCATCCCTAAATTTTACCTTTGGGGGTCACCACAACTTGGGAAATGTTACCAAAGGGTCCCGGCCCTAGAAAGGTTGAGAACCACTGCTCTAGGGGGTTGGCCTTCAATTTCTAGTACCCAGTGTCCATCTTCTATAGTCAGCAGTATAGCCTTACATTGCTTAATATGGGAACTACCAATCAGAATGTTGTGTCAAAGCAATAGAGCCCTCATTGGCTGAGAGTGCTGCCCTCCCAGTGCTGCTACATGGGAGGCCAATATCACAACTATATCAAGACAAATTGTTTAAATGTAACAATTTGATAAAGCTATGTATTCATTAAACTTTATTAGTGTCATATTAAAAGGTAAAATTACATTGTTTTCACAAAAATATTGTTTTTGTCTCTTTGATATTCTTCTTTAAAAGAGAACTATGGGGTAACCTTTTTATCCCATAGTTCTCTTAAAGGAGAACTATGAGATGAGTGATTTCCACTCACCTCATAGTTCTAAGCCGACCTGTGACAATGAGACTGTCACAGGTCGGCTCAGTAGATCGGGAGGTGAGGGAACACATACCGGGCTCCCTCACCTCTCGATCCTGTCACGGCTCTCTGCCGTGACAGGGGGAGGGGCTGGATTCCCCTCTCCCCGCTCCGATCTGCCAGCGCTGACTGGCGGAACGGACGGGGGATGGGACGGGTACAGCTGGCTCTGCCTCTAGATAGGCAGAGCCAGCTGTCACTCACGCAGCTGGGGGGATCCCGTCATCTACGTCGGGATCCGCTCCAGGTGCGCCGTCTCAGTATACCGCAAGCTGTAGCTCGCGGTATACTGAGCTTAGGGTAACGGGAGGATGCTAGTTTGTGTCCCCCCGTTACCCTAAGGAGAACTATGGGGAAAAACACTGACCCCATAGTTCTCCTTTAAGGGTCACGTGAGGACATATACTAGTGTCCCCCTGTGACCCAAAGCTCAGTATATAGCGAGCTGCAGCTCGCTATATACTGAGAGCACCGCAGCTGGGGCGGATCCCGACAATGCTGTCGAGATCCACCCAGCTGCGTGACTGACAGCTGGCTCTGCCTATCTAGAGGCAGAGCCAGCTGTACCCGTCCCCTCCCCCATCAGTTCCTCCACTCAGCGCTGGAGGATCGGTGAGGGGGGAATCCTTGCGGGATAGGTGACTGACAGTCACCGCTCTCTGCAGGGAGATGATCGGAAAGTGAGCGAGCGACGGTATGCATTCGCTCACTTCCCGATCTATAGAGCCGACCTGTGACAGTTTCATTGTCACGCGTCGGCTCAAACTATGAGGTTGAGTGAAAATCAGTCAGTCCATAGTTCTCCTTTTTAATCTAATGTCCTCACCTCAGGAATATTCATTTTCAAGCACACAAAAATCTCCTCAGAGGGGTTTGAGGTTTTTTTTATACCACTTGTTACCTTTTCACTAAGTGTGATCTCACTTCTCTGCCCTTTCTTTCCATTCTAGAGAAAGACAGTCTAACTGTACTTTCAGTTTAAATCAGCTAAATACATTTCAGATGCATCAAAAACAAAACATGTGCAGAGTTTGATTTCTTTAGAAAGCAGCTGCAGCCTGAACAATTGAGAATATGGAGTAGTTGCCCATAGTAACCAATCAGCTGCTATCTTCAGCTCAATCTGTTAAATTTTGAAAATAAAAGCTAGACTCTGATTGGTTGCCATGCACAGCTGCTCCAGATTATGTCTGCTCCGAGCTTAGTAAAATCCCCTCTGTATATTTTTTATCTTTTACCTTCTACCTGCTCAGGAAGTGTCAGACCGCTGGAGGTCCACGTTCCCACCAGGGCGTTTGTAGCTCATATTTTTCAGCACGGAAAAGCTTCGCACAAGAAATCACATTGATTTCCATAGTCCCCGTTCACGTCTCAGCACAGCGTCGCGCTGAGAAAAAAAGTCAGTCGATGGAAAAAGGTACACAATCTTCTTTTTTGGGCAGATTAGCGCCATTAGGAATAGAAAAAGGGGTCACATTGCGCTGATCTCCCTAAAAAGAAGCGCATACTTGACAGCGGTGCTTTTCCGTGCTGAAAAATACGAGCTACGAACGCCCTGGTGTGAATCTTTGGAGGGATCTTTATGGGGCTACTGTCCAGATCTTCAGCATGCTGCCACTACAGATAATTGTAGCAAAGGCAGAATCACACTAGTTGATTTAATAGAATGAAAAAAGACACACATCCTCTGCTGTTTATGCAGCCCGACAGTAGGAAATAAAAAAGAAAGTTTCAATTGGTCTTTAACAAGTAAACACAAATTTCATTAAAAATTCTATAAAGCATGGGACACCTGCTAAGTTACAATCCATTTTATATATCTGGATATAACTGATCATGGAAGCAATCATTTCCTTTATTTGAAATAAGACATCCTCTATGACCTTTTGGTGAGTAAATATAAATCATTTGACAATATTTCTCTCCCTGTATCAGAGTTCAAGTAACAGATTTCAGGAGTTCCTTGGCGCATAGTCAGGTAAGCAGATGTAGAATATAGAAAAATCAGCCTAATCACTGTATACAGTAGACCTTGATAATTAAAAAAAATACTCAACCAATTTATCACAGGTAGTATATGATCTCAATTATATAATCACAATAGAGTGTGTATCATTAGTGTGTATCATGTAATCCCACATGATTATCTAGCCTAATTTTCCACCAAGAATTTGACTTAGCTGGCTTGTATTCAGAGAGAGAGGGAGGGAAAATTGCGATGGTTAGTTGAAATGTTATCATAATTTCAATTTTAATAGCTATCTGGCTAGCTGGTTTGCATGGAATGTATCAGGGTATGAAAATTGTGTTGGGAACAGAGAAGTATATTATGTAAATAACACTTACCTTTGTGTCCCTAATCTTATACTTGGTCAAGATGACATTCACTTACAGATCTGTCACCCATCTGGCTTGAATAATACTGAACCAATAGGTATCCAAGATAAATTTCTACATTAAGTTTAGACAATAACTTTAATTGTCAGAAGTGCATGCATTCAGTAAAGGTTATTACATCATATACCCACATCTCCTAATTTATCAGTTACCGTAGTTTCTTTTAATAAGTTTCAAGTATAATGTATGACTTAAATCAATAAAGAGCTTTCAGAAGATGTATTTGTTCCCCAGAATGAAGAATCTGTGAAACTGTTTCTCCAGAAGACAGTGACTGACCTTGGAATACCATTTGTTGCAAAGCGTGAGTTTCTTGCATCACATCTCTGATCATGGGCTCTCTCACAACAGTGATATATTGTCCTACACCCTACACTGCCTGCCCTGCAAATATAGCAGAAGTCTAGGAGCAAATATGTAAAGTCCCTTTTACATGGGCCGATCAAGAGGGTATCTGTCAACAGATTCTCTCCTGATCAGAGCGGTACGGAGCAGATGTCACCGCTGTAACATCTGTGTCCATACAGTTTTTTTCCTCCATCTTGCGGTGGAGGAAAAAACTAAAAGTGCCACACCCCATGTCTGTCTATGGGGAATCCGATGTAAATGGACATGTGTCCTTTTACATCAGATTATCTCTAGTCCAGCACAATCTGGTCTGTCAAAACGGATCAATGATCCGTCTGTTTTACCAGACCGAGCTTGAGTCTGGGCTAACCGGGTGTAAACGGATGCTCATCCATTTAAACCCGGATGCCCATAGACTTGCATAGAGCATCCGATTGGGTCCGGCTGAAAAACTGACAGGCGCCAGGCGGACCTGATCAGACAACTCGTCTCAAAAAGTAGTGTATTCCTCTCACCTGCTGAAAGGGGTAACATTGAAAATGAATGGCACTACAACACACTAGCGCACCTACCGAGGGGTACCACGGGGTACTGTGCAATTTCATATACTAGTAAGTGCCATCTAGTGCCGTGCAAATGGCAACTTTTATCAATGACGTCCAATGTGTGTAGTGTATGTAATTTAAGTCAATGCTATCGCTCATTATTTTGTGTATCACTGTATATTATATGCTATATATTTAAAATATCATTTTTGTACAGATTTGGGACCAGTTTTGACATCACTGATGAACACCAAAGGGCTAAATCTATTTGAAATTATAAATCCTGAAGTCATACCACATGAGGTAAGGAAAATGAAGACTGTTTGAGATAAGAACTAAACTACACTGACCTTCTTGAGCAAATATGTCAATTAGAAAAGCTGTTCTTTTCATTTGTTGCAGCCAAGCGAACTCTACCTTCACGTCTACCAGTTAATTAAAGTGGTGCATTCGAAAAAATGAAGATTTGCTATGTTATAGGGAACAAACAGAAATATTAATTGTCCAAAAGCAGTAGAGACATGGCATCACAAGGGGGTGCAGCTCGCACCGGGTGGCACCTTCAGAGGGGGTGACACCAAAATAACACACAGTCATTTTGGTGTCACCCCCTCTAAAAAGTCAGGCACTCGGTCATGGACCGAGTGTCCGACAGCTGTACGAGAGAGGAGGGGACCCAGCAGCCTACCTTGATCCCGCAGATGATCGTCCCCATCTCTCTCTGCCAGCGTTCATCATCGCGATGGCCACCCGCAGTTAAGTGCACATGACATCATTACGCACATTTGTGATGACGTCATGCGTGGGCGTAATGATGTCACACGTGTGCGTGATGGCGTCCCAGTGGATGACACCCTGCAGTCGCACCGGGTGGCACCCAGCCTGGGGACACCTCTGAGTAGAGATAAGCTTCAGGTTTCGGGTCGAACGGGTTGGGTTGGGTCACCCATCGCCTCATGGGTTGGGTCACCCATCGCCAAACACTCCTCTGTTTCTTAGCAACTAATGCCCCTTTTCGGCACACACAGCATCATTGGTTGACTGGTGGCCGAGCCGCAGAGCGTCATTGGTTGCTAGGATACAGACGGGCACACTATAACAACATATGACAATGTGGGGCCACCTATATCCTAGCAACCAATAATGCTGGGAGGCACGGGATGTTATGTGTCTAAGGTGCCTCCAATAAAGTAATTTATTTTGTTCAAAGCAACCACAAAAATTCTTTCATTCAGATGAGATGTCACCAGTTGCAAAGGACAACACAAGCATTTTTTTAAAATAGGGGAGCCTTTAATACGAAAGGCCCCATATTATCTATGATGCAGTTCCATCTAAGGTTTGTGTTTAACAATGCTGTTTTTCATTTTCAGGGTTACTTAATAGTACAACTGGATTTTGGATTTCCTCATCATTTGCTTGTAGACTTCCTGAAGAAGTCCCTGTAGAAGATGCAGTAGCAGTGAATGTATCCATCATCACAATGACCTTTGAATCAATCTTTGAAGAAAATACATAATGTGTGCTTTAAAATGACTAAACAATAAACACATTTTAATGCAATATTTCCTTCCAGTTTTATGATTTGTTCATGTATTCAAAGGATATTAACCATGCATGCATGCTTAGTTTTGCATGAAGTGTGAAAGGGTTCTGTCAGGTTTTCATTGCTGTCTCTGTACTTACTGGGGATATTCCTGTATGGACAAGATCTGATGGGAAATTTCTTCAGCAGGAACACAGACAAAAACATTTTAGAAGAGTAATATGAGGCTAAAACCAATGACAATGTTTGTATTGCTGTCCCAGTGACAACTGCTCCCCTGTTTCTTGTCCTTGTGTCTCAGGAACAGGGAATGAGGACAAATTTAGCTAATAGCAATACAGACAAATATATAAATTACAGAGATATTAGCTTTCCCTCACTCTATTCAAAACTACAAAAAAGCTTTTAGAACAAAACTCCAGGAAAACATTTATTTTCGCCATTTACAATGTACTAAAATCTTACCACTAACGGGTGGCTGGTTGCTGCATTAGTTAAAAGGATCATTTTTATGCAGCCAGGACCCGAAACTTACAGTCCCAGCTTTAGCACAGAGACATTAGTGGATCGCTCCCTCGACACTTTCGCCATTCATAAAACATCTCATATTCTTTTTATTACAAAGATATGTGCTTTGTAAAAGAAGTGTTCTGTGAAAGAACAAGGGAGATCACATGGGGAGAGCAAACTATTTAATCCCGTTGTCCATTCACAGATCACCTTGTATTCTGTCTAAAAAATATAAGACATTTTGTAAATGGCCAAAGTGCCGAGCGAGCAACCCACTATCTTCTCTGTGCTAGAGTCAGGACTGCAGGTTTTGGCACCAGAAGAGTCTAACAGAAGGATTAGGGTTGCCTAAAAATTAGGGATCCCCCGATACCAATATTAGTAATGGTATCAATGCCGATACCGAGTATTTGGGCGAATACTTGTGCCCAAATGCTTCGATACTTACCTCCGATACTGGAACTTCCGGTTAGAGGAAGATATCCCTCTGACTTGTAGGGCCGAGGGAGCATGGAGCCAGTTTCCTTTCCAATCAGGAAACCGGGCAGCGCGTTATGACCCACCTACCGGCTGTTGCCTAGCAACAAGTGAAGCCGGCTTCCTAGCCAATTAGGAAGCTGGGAGGCGGATCATGATGTAGGAAGCTGACCAATCAGGAAGCTGGATGGCACCTCATGACCTTGGAAAGTGAAGCCGGTGTTCTGTCGAAAACTCCAATTTCTCGAGATCTTCAATGACATCACGTCCGGTTGACTTGCTAGCAAGAGGTTTGCATGAGTTTGCTCTGGTGTGCGTGCGCTTCCCGCAGCATTTCCCTATATACATACCAGACAGCAATAAAGTATAATAATCAACTAGGGTGAGACGAATCCAGCATGTTATTAATCTGAGTTGCCCCAATAAATTTGGCCACCAGAGTCAGGCAAGCGTCCTCCCGTACAGGCACAGTAAAGAGAATTGGAGAGCTTGATAAGGCTTTTGAAGCTGCGCAGGCACAGTGAAGAGCATTGTCAAACTCGATCGGCCATATTGAGTGGGGCAACTAGCAACTAGCCACACATGGGACACCCATTATTACCGGTAAGATTTTAGCACATTGCAATAGGACAAAAAATTTTTTTCCTGGAGTTCTGTTTTAAAGTTTAAGCACATCAAAATATAATGGTGAGACATCTTCTGGTTAGGTCATTTTCTAGTAGCAGCTCAGGGGTGCTGGCAGAAACATATTGGCCCTGTCTCTGTGGACTGTTTATGTAATGTCATTTTAGTGGGAGGACTACGAAGATAATGATTTTGCATCTATGCTGGTGCTGCTATTTACACACACAAAACCTAAGTTTTTACCCCCTCCAATCAGGCCCTCTACCCCCTGCTATACTTACTTGCCGTGTAGGGCAGCCCTGCACTCTGGATTTTGAATTTTGCTGGTAAACGGCAAGTACTAATAGGTCTTTCTAAGGAGCACTTCTCATTGATCAGCGCAGACATGTGACTGCGCTAACCAATGAGTTGTCACCATTTGCCAAAATTCTAAATCCCTAGCACAGGGCTGCGCTGGACAGCAGTACTAGGTACAGATAGTACACCTGCACCAGCAAAGGTGAAGGAGCGTTCGCCCGACGATAATTATAGCAGGTGGGGGGCAGATTGGAGGGGATCAATTTTCCCAAAGTGGAATTAATTACCCTTTCTATAAGTGAACCAGAGACAAGTCTTTGGTAAAGCTTTGCAAAATCTTTTTAGATAGCACGGGATATAGAAGGTTCTAACTAGGCACATGATCTCAGTATCTGTCCTAGGAAAGAGCATTTTAGCTAGGGATATTATATTCTATCAAGGTTTACAAATGTATAATTAAAATAAACATAAATTATATATGTGGTACAAATCAAATCAGTGTGTCAGTGGACTGCATATTTACATTATATTGTGAAGTTTATAGTACTTCTGGTTAGTTTTTATGTCAAAATTAGCACTACACATGAGAATCCGAAAAACATTGTCCAAATGCTAATCAAAGTTTTGTTCCATGTCATGCCATATTGTCATTTCTGCCTTCATACACTTCACGAGAAGCTTGTTGGCTATCCCATGAAGCTGGCTGAGAAGGTCTCAGACGAGGTCTCTGACTGCGTGATATGACAGGTGGGAGGGATCTGTGGATGCATTAAGGGGTTGTTGGGAGGGAGGATCTATAAATGCATGAGGGGAAATGATGGGGGGGTCTATAGATGCATAAGGGGAATTGATGGGGGTGGTCTATAGATGCATGAGGAGGATTGACTGCACAGGGAAAACATGGGAAAGTTATGTTGATGCATAAAAAAAGAAGTTCATTTTTATTTCATCCGCTAGGGCAGTGCTCCCCAACCTTTTTATCGCCGCGGACCGGTCAACGTTTGATAATTTTACCGCGGCCCGCTGAGGGGGGGACGTTGATTGTTTATATTTTAGATTGTTTTGATTTCATAATTTTAATTTAATTGTATTTAAACATGCCTTCAAAATAAAATACAGTTACACCAAAAAATGAATATAAAGTGATTTAACATTTTAACTCACTGGTGTGTGGGAATCACCTGTCCCGATAAATCCATATTTCAAGTAGGACTCATGGTATTGTCTGTTAAAAGTTACATGTTTCTTTGATGTTGAAGGCACTTCTGTCTCTTCACTGGGCCTTTTCTTTTTCCCAAGGAAACTTTCTAACGATGTTTTTTTTGTATTCATTTTTGCTAATTTGTGGGTTAAATTTGAGCAAACACAATATACACATACACCAAGCACTGTTAAACATGAGAAAGTACCGGTGAACAGAGAGAAGAGCGATACACACCTTCTCTTTACCAAAGCTGCAACGCCACTGCCGCTTGCAGCCGCTCAGCTCCAGACGTCACCTAAAACCGCCCCGATATCACGATATTTTGCGCATGCGTATTGGTGCGGCTTTAGGTGACGTCTCTCAGCTCCCGGTTAACCTCTCGTCCTGGAAAGTCGGACAAACCCGAGAGAAATACACCACAGTAAATAAAATGGAAATAATTTAATGTTCCTTGGGCGGCCCGGTACCATTTGATCCACGGACCGGTACCGGTCCGCGGCCCGGAGGTTGGGGACCACTGCGCTAGGGGACCAAGTGCATATAGCACTTGGTCCCTGTTCTTTTTCATCCTGCCATTGCCAAGCAGTGTGATCCGACAGTTTAAGCACCACTGCTGAGTAGTGCTGTTGGGGCCAGTACAGTGCATGACACAGCCCCTACAATTCTGAGTTTATATTCATAGAAGAACATTTAGTACTGCAGGGCTATGTGATCTATCTGGTGGGCTGTTTACTTACAAACAGATCGGGCAGATAGCTCTCATAGCCCTGCAATGCTGAGTGATCTTTTATGAATGAACAATCAGTGCTGTCAGGGCTGTATGATAGAGCTGCCACTGCTCTGTATGTTTTCTGGCAACTCTACCACACAAAATATACAGTCAGCTACGAGACGGGGCAGGAGCTTAGTGCTGGCTGTAAGCCCCCCCAAGCTCCCCCCCCCCCCCCCCACCCCCCCCCCCCCCCCTCCAGGAATTCCCATATTTTAGTAGTCAGACTGGGGTGAAGCTACAGCCAGCATTATGTATAATTACTGGGGCAACCGATCTGAACAGGGCCTAGTGCTTTTGGCCAGCTGGTGGGTAAAATAAAATAGTACATTTTTAGTGAGACATTTTCTTAAGGGATTTTGACTGCATAAAGGGATGGGAATCTTTGGATTCATTACAGGTTGGCAGGGGAAATCTATGGATCGATAACAGGGTCAGGTAGGACTGCACAAGGGAATTCATGTATGGGACTGTTGATGGATTAAGGCAAGAGTTGACAAATCCACATTAAGTGTCAATTAACAACCACTAGACTACTGGTGTGTCAGTGAACAATAGTTCACTATAGCAGTACAGTTTATTTTCAGTTTGTGCACTCATAGTTGTACTGCTAATGGCGAATTAAACTTAATAACTATTATTATTAGCAAAAGTGGTCCCATTCTAGAATAGACAAACGTGGAGATATTATGAAAAATTCTAAAGCAGCATTTTAGCAGGCAGTATGTGAAGGAGAGGGTTGTGAAGGGTATGATGGCATACAGTATGTACAGGAGAGGAGTGCAGAGAATGTCATGGTGGGAAGTATGTACAGGAGAGGAGTGCTGAAGGTATGATAGTGACCAGTATGTATAGGAAAGTAGTGTAGAGGGTCTGACATGGAGCAGTATGTGCAGAAAAGGAGGACATTATATAAAGGTAAGGAGTCCAGAGGGTATGACGGCAAGCAATATGTACAGGAAAGGAGTGTGGAAGGTATTGTGGTGGGAAGTACTTACAGGAGAGGAGTGCAGAGGGTTTGACAGTGGGCAGCATGTACAGGAGAGGAGAGAAGAAGGACTGATATGGTTTACTCTGTAGAGATAAGAAGTGCAGAGGGTCTAA